ACCTAGAAAGTATTGAGATTGCATGTGTGTGCCACTACACATGGCTGTGATTAATTTTTAAATACTGTATTGGATATTTAAAGTATTTTTCCGCACATACCCATTCACTAAAACGTGGAGGCCCTGAGCATCTGTTCATCAACTTTATCTGTTTAAAACGCCAAAGTAGAGAGTAATATGAATATATTGATATAGAATTATGAAAGCACTGAACTTCAATAAAAAATCCTTTTCACTTATCACATTAGACCTTTGCAGCTCTTTCACCTAGGGACATTGATGGAATAAATAATTGCCAATGCCATTCAGAAAACAAGAATAGTGTCTCATAATAAACCGACCAAAGACCCACCAGACTAAAATAATGGGAGATACCCATTAATGTCATTTGATGGTGTCTGGAAGAGCATCTCTTCATTTTTTCTCCACTTCTTTGTTCACTGTCCTACTTAGCTATAATTGTCAACTTAACCCAGCATATGGTCACCTGAGAGAAGCTTCTCTTGAGGAATTTCCTAGATCAGATTGCCCTGTGTGCATAATGTGAGAGTTTGTCTTGATTTGTAATTGATTTTAGGTGGGTCAAGGCCCACTTGGGGTAGTTGTGTTTCTAGGCTGAGTAAGGAAGCCACCTAAGCATGAACCTATGATGGAGCCAGCTGACTTTGTTCCTCCATGGTTTACTTTGATTCCATGCCTTGACTTCCCTCAGTGGCGAACTGCAACCTGGAAGTGTAAGCCCAACACCACCCTCCCCCTTGCTTTTTGTCTTGGTGTGTCACAGCAACAGAAAGGAAACTAGCACAGTCCTGGGGATCAAGTATCACAGAGCATGAGTTCTGTTTGAACTCTCCCCTACCCTCCATATGGGCCCACCCACACAGATACACACAGAAACACCTCACAGCCATTCTGCCAGCTATGGACTGTCCTCAGATTAATGTGATTGGAAACATCAGACAGAGAACCTTTCCAAAATCCATTTTCTTCAAGGCAAGCAAATTGTGCCCTTATTTCCCATCATCTCTACTTCATCTGTAATCAGCAAATGGGGCCCCTCAGCCTGCATTGTGTTTCGTGTTGCAATCTTTTAGCCTCCGTGAGTTTTCACAACACTGAACCTTCTCATTTTGAAATTCAGGAGTAGCAGAGGAAGCCTTGGGCAGAAGATTGTAATTTGGGAGAAGGGGAAGTCAAGAAGATCACCTGTTCTGCAGAGGGCTGGCACAGAGGGAAATTGCTTTGCTTCATCAGTGTCTGAGCCTCTGAATGGATGTGCTCCTGTCATCCCGCCCTCCATCTCCAGTGACCTAAAAATCACATAATTTCAAACATTCACGGAACTGATTCCTTTGTGCATGCCTGGTGCACTTACCCCCTCTATTGCCAGCAGATGTGTCTAAATCTTTCTACTTCACAGGCAGGCTTTGGCTGCTGTGTGGGTGTTTGGGAATGAATGAATACTGTTAAGCAGATTTATCAGACTTCTCACTTGCAGCCACCTCCCAGGGATTGCCCCAGGTGGGGCAGATTTGTCTCTGGCTTCTTAGGGTCTTCATCTGAGCCCGAGAATTAAATTATCCTAAAATAGATTAATAGGTGAATGGCATGTCTTTTACACATAAACAGCATCCACTAAAGGAAAATAAAAAGCCTTGAAGGAGGAACCAAGCATGGGGACACTTGGCTGTAATCCCAGCACTTAGGAAATAGAAACAGGAGGATCATGAGCCAGGGTCAGCCTCCGTGGCACAGTAAGTCTCAAGCCAGCCCGGGATAATTGAGACAGTCTTAAGAACAACAAGAACAACAAAATCCTTCAACACTGACACAACATCTGGATGCTTGCTTAGTGGCTACATTGGGATGGCTGTTTTAGAGACATCCAAAGCCTTGGGGATATTAAAGAGGCTAAGAGGTGTTTCCCCCAGATGTATGTGTGCACATCTTTTCTGGGCCATGACTGAATTTCTGAGTTCTCCCATTTCTGCATTCCTGCTCTCCCACTGTAGGCCAGGCATCTCATCATGTCTTCTTCCCCCCCCCCCCGTTTTTTTTCGATTGGCTAAGCGAGGGCAGAGTGTCCCTCTTGAATCTGCTGATTTTCAAGTACCTTGAGTTTACAATAATCCTTCTGCCAAGTGGCATGTTTTCAAGTGGCATGTGCTGCCACCTTTCATTCATTTGCTAAATGCTTCCCTTGCAGAAAGAAAAGTGTAGTCATTTCATAAAAGCACTGCAGGTAATTCTGATGGACTGTCTCCCTCGGCAACTGCTTGCCTAGTCAACTAACGAATTAACAAGCCTTTGAAATTGCTGCTCATTGATCCCAAACTGTTCTTTTGGAATCTGGGCTGCTTGCAACAGTAGTGTCCAGAGTAGCCATGTTTCTTTAAGGGATTTCTTAAATTAATTGCCAATGATGCCTTGATGGTAGGTTGATGTATACACATTAGCCCATGCATGAAGTCATGCAGTTGTTCTGGATATCGATCTGTTTATATTATATTTTATTGATTGATTTATAATCAGCGCTTTTGTGGTTTGTAATCAGCTTTTCTATGTGTATGGCCAGAGGAGGACACTGGGTGTGTGTCATGCTTCATTTACCAGGGTTCTTTAAAGGAATGTCTGTCTCTCTTCTCTCTGTCTTTCTTTCTCTCTCTGTCTCTGATTCTCTCTTTCTCTCTGTGTGTCTCTGTCTCTCTCTCTCTCTCTCTCTCTCATCTATCTGTGCGATTTATTAAAATGGTTTACTGTCTGTGGTCCAGCTAGTTCATCAATGGCTGTCTACTAATGGAAGGTTCAAGAATCCAGTAGTTGTTCAGTCCAGAAAGCTTGATGTCCCAACTGGTTTTCAGTATGTGTTTCCTGAAGAAGTGGGCTCTCTCATGCTCGGGAAGGAATGAATTGCTTGTAGTGTGATGCTTTAGTCTTTTGGTTTTTTGAGGAGCCCTCCACTCAGCTCCCAATAAGTCATACATTTTCCCGTTACAGGTAGGCAGTCAAAGAGCAGGCACTTCCTTCTTCCATGTACTTTACATAGGCTGCCACCAGAAGGCGTGACCCAGATTTAAGGTAGATCTTCCCACCTCAAAATACCCACTTTTAGAATGAATCTCCCCACTTCAAGTGGTTCAGTCAAGAAAAATCCCTCACAGGTATACCCAGCTGCTTGGGTTTTTCCTAGTTGCAGATGTAGTCTTGTTGGCAACCAGGGATAGCCACCACACTTCCTCTTTCCTGCTCCATCCTATTCCCTTGAGGCAGGGTCTCTCATTGAATTTGGAGCTAGTGAATGGATCCTCTTTCATCTGCCCCACCCACAGCACTGGGGTCAGAAGCTGTTGTGTCCCCACACCCAGCTTTCTATATGAGTGCTCGGGAGTAGAATGTAGGTCCTCATGCTTGTATAGCAAGTGATTCATCCCCTCATCCTCCTGTGTTTGGTTCTCTTCTTCATACGGGGCAGTTTTCCTATTTCCTCCGATAATTAATGAAAACTCAAGCAGTTATTTTACTGGACATTTGGTAATCAGCCAGTGAATGTTTATAGATACAATGAACTAATAGTTGCCTGGTTTATTCAAGAGTTTCAGCAAAGGGACTATATAGTCCTAAATTTTATATATGGAAAAGTAGCATCTCAAGTGTCTGAAAGCATAAGCTCCTTATATTATGAAAAAAATTTAAAAGCTGTCAGTTCCTTTTGGCTACATGGACACAGATTCTTTTCCCTCTTGCCCCCACCTTCCATATAGAGAATCACAGTATTAACTGAAGTAAAGGTGATTGTACTGCTGTTTCTAAGACCTTATCAGGTCTCTGGAAAGCTAGTGTTCTGGCATGGGGTCCATTTGCTCTGTGTAACTATTGTGCAGAGTCATGAGATTGCCTTAATATGTTACAGGGAAATAAAATGGATTTGAAAAACATTTTAGCAACATCTCATAAAGATTCACATTTGTATGGAATTGGACATAATTTTCAGTACACTTCTGGAGGCATCTTCAGTATGAATGGAGACTTGATCTCCCAAGACACCCAACGTGTGAGGCAAATTAATCCTTACTTGCTTATTTAAGATAGGGTCTCTTAGAACCCAGGCTGCAACTCACTGTGTAGCTGAGGGTGACCTTGAACTGGTGATCCTCCTGCTTTACCTCCCAAGTGCTAGGATTGCAGACATGCACAATCGCTCCCAGCTTCATGTGGTACTAAGAATGGAACCCAGGTCCTTAGGCATTGTTGGCAAGTGCCCTGTCAGCTGAGCTACACCCACAATGCAATACTCTGCTGGGTAGGTCTTGATATTTTAACTACCTGGATTTGTGTATTTAGGAAGAAAATTTTAACTGCTGGCTGTTTTCCTGTCTTATTCTGAAGCTGTGGAATTACTGGAGACAGTTGTTCAATGTTGTGCTTTTTCTTCTTTCCAGAGGTTATGGTAACACTTGTCTTAAGGTCCTTTCACAGGTTGTCCACTTTGATTCAGATCCAGGCCATACACAGGGCAGTCCTCAGCTCCAGTCCTCCAGTGTGTGTGTCCCCATTTCCTGTCTTTTCTTTATTCCATTACAGCTCCAGTCAGTTCCAAATCTCTGGAGCTGTACTCATACCTGTAATCACAGCCCTAGGAGGGCTAGGAGAGGAGGAGCCCCGGGACTTTGACCAGCCTAGCTGAATAAGCAAACCCTGGACCAATGAGAAACTGTTTCTCTAAAACAAAGAGAGCAATTGGGAAGCACACAAGATTTACCACTGGCTTGTGCACGCACGCATGCATGCACACATGCATTGTACCTTCATCTTCTCACATAAGCATCCACAAGCACAAAGGAATATAATCGACATATGTGTGGTGTTATTTGGGATTCAGGAAATTTGATCAGTATTTCTGTATCCATCCACTCATACTAACCTTATTGAGTCTGTCTTTAGGCTGTCCTTAGTACCCATGTAACCACCACTTCCTTTTGTCTCGTTCTTCCTTTCTGCAGAAAGATGTAGCAGTTAAGCCTCAGGAACGAGTAGAGAAGCGGCAGACACCCCTGACCAAGAAGAAACGAGAAGCTCTTACCAATGGCTTGTCTTTTCACTCCAAGAAGAGCCGGCTCAGCCACTCGCACCACTACAGTTCGGATCGAGAAAATGACCGCAACCTCTGCCAGCATCTTGGAAAGAGAAAGAAGTTGCCTAAGGGACTCAGACAGGTGAGCAAGCCTGGTTCATTCTTTGCTAGCACCTTCTCTTCCCTCCTGCGTTTTAAATGGGGGACAGTTGCTGTAATATTGTGATGTGGTAATGGTTTTGGAAAGTTGAATGCTTGACTCTACATGATAGGGTCACACTCTAGGTGTGTTATCTGTATTTGACTGCCACTGCACCACTGTCACTGTCATTTCAATGTTTGCTACTCATCGGAGCTCCATGTAGTACTGCTGGTGCACAGAGCTGGCCCTATGGTGGAGATGGCCTGGTTCCTATAGAGATCTGTATGGTGAATTCAGATAGCTTGGGGAAATCACTCATAGCCCTTATACACATCCCAGGGTTCTGGTGTGCTAAAAACGGTGGTCTGCGTGTGCACAGGGTCTCATGTAAAATTTATACTGTGCCATTTGGGAGGGCGGTGGCACTGCAGTGTGCCCACCTCTGTGCCACCATTGCTCTGCACAACCATGGGACTCAGGATGGGCATTGTAGTTGTTTGAACAGAAGTTTTGGTGTGGGGGTGGTCTATGGCCTGCGAATAATTAGCTTACAGTGACCCACAAACAAATAACAGTGCTTTGCATTTGGGGAGCCTTTCTGCCTGTGGGAATCCCTATGTGGAATTGATTGATACTGGGAAACAAAGGTGTCCAGAGCAATTTCCCTTCACACTATTGCTTTTGTGCTTGTAGAGTTACTTGCGTCCTGTGTGCGTTTCGTTTGTTTTTGGAGACACCATTGTGTGAGATTGACTGTCACTTCAAAGGAGTAGAGACGGGAGTTGTTGTAGTTGAAAGAACAGGTGCTGCATAGGCCGTTTCTAGTCTGCAGAGATTTCTCTGCAGAGTGTGAGATCTGAGATCACAGAAAATGGTAGTTCTAAAACCTTACAGATCATCACCACCATATCATGCACTGCACTAAACACAAATCCCCAGCCTCTGCCTGTGACCTAATGCTGTCCTTACTGTAAGAAGCTTACAGCTTGACCATGGTCAAGCTGGCTTGGAAATCACTTGTGTAAAACTTCAGAAGTGTGTTCGGAGCGATGACGTTCAGTTAGTGCTTTGGAAAGCTAAAAAGCCCTAAGGGGATAGATAGAGTGGGCTGCTTGGTGTCATGAAAAAAATGAAGGATATGTCTGTGTAGAGACATGGAGAGTGATGGGTGTCAGCGAGAACGCAGAAGGCCTGCATTGGAATGTCCTCAGACGTGACCCAAGGCACCCCCAAACTCACTTGCCAGCAGTGTTATTAACATTGATCTGTACTTACACCATCTGCTACCGGTAGGCCTTCAGTGTATGGCACAGCTAGCAAGTCAGGCAGTAACCCTGCCTCATGGTTACTTACCATGTGTACTTTAGAGAGATGGAAGCTGGGCCTGAAAGAGATGAAGCAGCTCATCAGAGAACACCTTGCCATGTGGGATTTAGACACGAACTTTCTAGCCCCATTTCCTCTGTATTATGTTCCCTTTGTTTGATGTAAGGGTTGGACATAGAAGAAAACCGCAGACCATACAATGGAGAGAGGATGGCCTATAAACACTTCTAGAAACAACATGGTCAAACAACACATTTGATCTTGGAAGCTGCTGCCTGTGAAGCCATAAGATAAAGCAGGATAATCTATGTTCACAGCAGCTGTACAGAGTTGGAAAGCTAGATAGTAACAGAAATTAAATGGTGATTGTGTGTGTGTGTGTGTGTGTGTGTGAAGGAGGGAAGACTAGGATCCACTCTGAAATTTGTGTTCCTAATTTCTATTAAAATAAAATAATAATCACCCGTGGAGAGAGGCTGCAATATTGCTACCTCTATCCCAGACCCTCTTGCCTTCCCAACATGATACAGGACTGCTTCTTACCCTGTCAGGCTAGACCACTTTACTTCCATGTAGAGGCCAAGTGGTATGTCTTCCATGCTGACCTTTATCTAGTTTTTCTTTTCTTGGTTATAAAGTTCTCCTTGTGATTTTTGTGAAACCTGGGATTTCAGAGTTTATTTCTGAAAGCATAAGTGATCTTGACAGAAGACTTGAGGTCATGTGTCTGGATTTGGCTGAGTTTTTGTCTTAATGGCCAAGTGATACTTTTGGCACTCATAATATTTGAAGTCAAAGCCTTTGTTGTTTTATGTTTGACGTGTATTTACTTGCTCTGCAAATAAAAAAGAAAGAATCCTACCTTTCACCTGTAATTCTGAAGAATTATATGTCCTTTCTTGATGCCTGAATGTACTAGCTTGAATGTACTAGTTTGTCACTAATTCTGTTTATATTAAGAGAAAGTAGAGTTGATAACTAAGTAAGAGCATAATACTTGGTAATAATCTTAGCATGATACTTGTTATTGGTAAATAATCTCTGATGCTGCCTTCCTGGAAAATGAAATTTTTGAAGTAGGTTTCTTAAGATATTTCTTCTGAGCCTTGTGATTAATTAAATTTACCAATAATATAATCAATAGAGTGTCAGAGATTTGTGAAGGAAGAACATAATGGGCCGATGGAAGGCAACTATTTGTAGTGTATGTGTATATTAGAGTAATGGCTCAATGTAGATATTTAAATGACAGGGAGAAACATTTGTAGGGTAAATTATCATCTCTTGTGTAAGCACTGACTGGTAAAAGGTGAGAGACACTATGTTTATTCTAGGAGTAGATGGAGGTCATTGACATAGCTCAACAGCTATAGGCCCTTGCTGCCAACCCCAGTGACTCACATTTAATCCTTGAGACTCAACATGGTAGAAGGAAAAGAACCAACTCCAGCAAGTACACACGCTAACATACGAGCCACACACACACACACACACACACACACACACACACACACGTAATTAAAAGGATTGCTTTTGTATTGTGCCAGGCCAGTACATATCACAGTCCCTTTTTCTGTCTTTGACTCCTAGCAGGTAGAGTAACTGAATCTGACTGTCTCAGCTGGAAGGGGTCTTCTGAGTGAGCCTTGAGGAGAGTTTTTAAATTAATAGATTGTCCTTTAGTGCCTCTGGCTGAGGGAGTTACCGTCTGAAGACTTACAGATGACAATGGACATGAGAAGAGAGGAGCTGGTCTTCCTTCTTGACATGTGGAAAGTGAATTAACTTTGCATTCTATTAGGGTGGTACTTCCTGAGCAGGCAACTTAATACATGGCTTTCCTGTAATTATGGAAGACATTACTCTTTAGTAGAGAAGAAATAATAGGATTTTTTTGTCTTGAGAGTCTGTTGAAGGCAACTAATCTTTTCACTCTTAGAGTGCAATTATATACTTTTAAGAGAGAAGGGGAAAAAGGTGTAGTTCTAAAACCAAATTGCTTTTCCTTCCCTTGTCTGATTATAAAACCACAGCTCCTATGATATGTTTCCATTCTGTCACAAGAAAGTGTTTTAATTGGCACTTAGCTTATTTGCTGGATTATGTTTTAAAGGAGAAATATCTTAGAAGAGAGCTGATCAGAAGCTGCCTTGCCAAATGATTACGGATTTGAACAACCCTGTCCCCAGTTCTCAAATGAGCCGAAAAATGAATCTGATCAAAGGAGTAAATTGCTGTGACACAAAATAGTGAATGTCTCTGTGACCTGCTGTTTTGAAAACTTTCTACCTGGGAAAACAAGAGCAGTGTCTACTTTAATCCTCCAAAGTCAAATTCCACCAAAGTTCACCCTAGGTAACTAGTGACTTTATTAGGTTTATTTACAGAGCTGGGTGAAGGGTTCCTTACAGTAGTGTTGATGACCCGAAAGCAGCAACACTGAAAAGTCTTCACTTAGGATAGATGATGGTTTATCTATGCCCATGTAGATGGAGTTTCCTCAGTTAGCCTTTGCCAGCATGTATGAACCAGTACCTCCGCAAACCTAGAGACTACGCATAAAGGGGCAGAATTGCATACAACTATGGCCGTACATTGTCTGAATTCTCAGGTGATGTCCCATTGATCCTCCTTAGTTCTTCCCTTTATGAAGAAATGTTAGTAGTTTACAGGCCATATCATGGTGTACAAACAGGCATAGCCAATCTCATGGAGATTGTGGTGACTTGGTTTGCGGCTAGGACATTATAATACTTGTCTTAGATGATATTTCTTCTTTGTAGAGCTGTTGAGTACTTATGGTATGAGCATTCATTAGAAGTGATACCTTTTGTGATGACACAGGTGATGTGTTTTGTCTTGAGGGAATATGGAGAGTAAACAGTACCTCACCATAGAACCTTCCTTCTTTTATTGGGAAACTATGTCACACTGTAGCCACCAAGCAGTACAAAGCTGTGTGTTTCCTAACCCTCTAGCCAAATTATGACATCTCACAGAGCATTTGGGAAAAACTTTACCCTTTCATGAGCATTGAGGAAAATTTGATTTTCTGTATTATATATGTCTTAACTTCTAGACTATAGAAAGTTCTGCTTTCATATTTAGTATGCTGTAGCTTAAAAGCACAGAGAAGACAAAAATGTTTTTAAAATGATATAGTCATGATGAAACATTGATGAGAATTGGGAGAACTCCGAGTTAGCTTCAATTGGAGTTCTAAATCTGTGGTTAATCACTTTGTCCTTTCAAATATGAACTGTGCTGGAAGAAGTAGTCTAAAGCATGGAAGAGGCCATCATTTGGTTATATGAATATGTGCATGCATCAGTGCGTGCATGTGTGATGCATACGGGTATGCACAGATACATGCATTTATAGCTGCAAGTATATGTAGAGGCCAGAGGACAACTTCAGGTATCATTCCTCAGGAAAGACTGTTGTCTTTTCTCTTTGAGACAGGATATTTCTGGCTAGGAGCTTGCTAATTCAGCTAGACTGGCTGTAATAGGGGTGATGGAGGTTGTTGTCAAGGCAGTTGTGTTCCCTGGCATGAACAAAAATTGAATGATGAGGAGAGACAGAAGATCAAACCATGGATAAAGGAAAACTAACAGATTTATCCTTTGGGGATGGGAGAAGCCTAAGGTTGGAAGCCCATTAAACATAAGACG